TTTAATTGTGTACCAGTTTAATGTTGAATATTATTTATGATTTTAACTTTATACACAAGTGCCAAAATACTATAATTATTGATATTGTTGGAGAAATCTACTGTTAATTGAAATAAATTATTTTAAAATATTTTATTTTTGTATGATAATTTGTTTTTAAATTTGTTTATCTTTTTAAAATAGTAGAATAAAATAATTTATATTTTTTTCCATCTTATAATTACAGGAACTCCTGCTTTTCAATTCTTTGGGTGAATGAAGTTCATAGATTCAGCTCTGTAAATTGACAGTTGAGTGTATAATCCAGGTTATTATGTGTTATATCAACTTGTCTCAACTCAGACAGACATGACTATGGCCTCTGTCAAAGCAGGTATCATGAACTCTGCAAGTCGCATTTCTGCACTCTCTAATAATATTATGAATAATACCATTAATCAGAATCTTCCAATAGCAAGGTAAGATATGATACTATTTAAATTTTAAATCCGGTTTAATATAGCATTAATCCTTCATCAAGAATACTTTTTGACTTCCTACAATATGTACATTTGAAGGCATGTTTAATGATCAAGGCTACGATATTCATTTTGGAACTACAAGTTTTCTGCAAAGGTTAGGGAACTTATGAATTTCAGCCAAAAGTTAAGGATTTTGGTAACACCAGTCAGGGAAATTTCAATGTGAAAGAGTATGCCTGCAGATGTATATAGGCAGGGAAGTTTTCTTTTTAATTATTCTAAATCAGTTGCACTGTAACAAAATTAAATCCATCATCTATGAAGAATAATTACACTGTTTTTCAGTGGAGGATAGTTTTTAGTGTAAAGTTATTTTGTTATATATGTGTGTGTATATATATATATGTGTATATAAGAATGGAATTACATGTGCATATTTGTGAAATAGTCAATAATGTCTTTAATTTGAGAAGAAAAGTTGGGGAATGTTGAGTCCACAACTGTTTGGGAACCCTGGACGGATGCCTATTCAGGCTTGTAATTAATACATAATGATCACACACTTGTTTTAAAGTGATGAAAATTGATGACTTTTACCAGTTACAAAGTGTGTGTTTGACACAGATATCATTAATTTGTTACTCTAATATTTTAAATGTAAGATATCAGAATTTCACAACCAAGGGTGTTTACCCCATTTCTAAAATTTGATGGAGAACCCTGCATTGTGATACGAAAATGTATATATTTTTTGAAACAAGATGAGGTAGTTTTACACTTGACCATATCAAGATCTGTTTATTGTAGGGCCTCTGTTTAAGGTGTTACCTGAATATGCAAAGGCTTGGTCTGTTTGACAGAACCTGTATTGAAAAAGGAATATTGACCAATGTGATTCAGAATTTACAATATGTATCTACATAAAATGTGGCAAGCTTTTAGTAAATGTACAGTGTGCTGTGCACAAAAAATCAAGGATTTACAAAGGTACTTGTACTCAAAATACGTCTGTGAATTGACAACATCATTCTGCTCAGACCCTGTCAAGTTGGAATGCAAAGTGATGTTCACATGAAGAACAAAATTACTTTTGTCCATCTTACAGTTTGCATACATATTGCATATCTATAACCTCTAGGACCTCCGAAATGTATATCTACAGTTTTTTTCAGCATCCATTTATACATAATATATGCTCTTCTCTACCTTAAACCATCACTAAATCAACATTTAGGGTAAAGTAAAACACAGATTTCAAATAGTAATACACATGAAACTTGCATAATACAGGAATTGTAAAAAAAGTTTATAAAAGATTTTACATAAAAATAATTTAGTCTCACACTTTCAAATAAGGATTGCCATATGCAAGTTCTCATACATTAGTTTTAACATTACTCGTACATAAAACAGCATTTCACCTTTTGCGTCTTGTTTATACAGAAAATCTCTTAATACTATTATTATAACACTGCTGTAATGAGGAATGACACATTTTGTATTAAATGCATTTTTACTGTCTTACTATGATATAAATTTTATGCAAAATTAGGTTAACAAAGCAGTTCTTCTTTTCCAGTAACATAATTTCTGATGATGTTGGATGGAAAGCTAAGCTTTGTCTTCCTCCAAAAGACAACAGAAAAAAGACAGAGGTATTTTTTTCTTTTACATTTTTTTTTGTGCATGTGGTTCAATGATTTCTGGTTTCTGACAATTCTAGGACCTAGATAATTTGTTTGTTGAACTGTTAATGTTAAGTCTAATATGACGTGATTGGTGTGAAAACTGCATTACAGCTAAAGCAAATATATTAGAAAAACTTAGATCCGAAAATTATTAACTATTATGTATAACCGAGAGCCTACCTTGTCTCGTTGATGCTTATGAAAGAAAAATCAGTATATTTTATATTGTACAGTTAAAAGGTTTATCTTGCATTGTTAGCAGATATTTCTTTTGCAACATCTCAACCAACTATTGATCCTGTTATCAATGTTATTTTCAAGTTTTGAACAACTCGACTTTCAATATCTATGTATCTACATGAGCCGATGTTTCCATTTATGAAAATTATATTTTAAGATCTGTGCAAGAACTCAGCTTGCAGATGTTTCCGAATATCAAAGCTATCTTCAAGTTTTGTACAATGAAGAACCTTTTTTATTTACTATGTAGATTTCAGGTTTACAAAATTTATTAGTTACCTGTGACCTAACCTATCAAAATGGCCTCGGGTCAAGCAAAGTAATAATATTTTTGCTAAAATTATTCTTGGTTGAAATCAGTGTATACCTAACAGATATACAATAAACTCGGTGATATTATTAAGTTTATTCATTGTACACCACTTTAAACCTAAAAAGGCTTGCCTGTTAATTTTTATAATTATTTCCATAACTTTCAAACAAATATAATTTAACACAAAAACATTTTCAGGAACAAAAACAAAAGTTTAAAAGAAACCATAAAAAAAATACCCAGATCTGTTGTTTGTTTTCTAAACTTACCAATAAGTTCCATTGTTGTTCTTTGCAGAAGCCACATCTAATCACTTTCTCAGAAAACTATAAATTACTTCTCGCATCACTTTATTCGCTAAACATTGACATAAACATTTTATAATCTATTTTATCCAATAGTATTTAAACTTTGTAGCTATCTTAAAATCTGAGCAACATAAATAGTAGATCTTATCACATGCTGTGTAGTCAAAGAAAAGTGTGGGAAAGAAAACTGTCCTAATAAATTCAAAGAAAGAGAAGGAAAATCACATGAAATCAAACATGCTTGGAATGGTGCTTTGGGATGGGATGAAAATAAAACAATCAATAAGTGTATTGTTTACCTGTAAGGCTCCTCGGAGCTGTGCAAAAATGTAAATTGGAACTTTTTTTTTCATTTTTCTTTCCAAATTACACAAATCAAATGTTTACAGTATTATAAAATATCAATTATAGAGTATGTTTGAGTAAATATTTGTTGAAATTAAAAGAAAAACTTATCAAGGGAAGCTTCAGATGTTGTTAAAAATTTTCATGTATGATTAATTGAAAAATGAGATACCACTGTGTGGCAGCAAAAGTTTGCTGGTAAAAGTGGGAACACTGGGTTTGGTATGTGAAATTATTTCTGGAAGAGTTAGTTAAATACTTTAAGGTTTGTGAACTGACAGTTTTTGTTGTTGCTTTTTTAATATGTGTATATATATATATATATATATATATATATATATATATATATAT